GTCTATAATAAAAGATTTTAGGGAACCAGCATGCCAATTCACAAGGTGGTTGTTAAGGTTTAAAACCAAGGCAAGATCCGCTTCAGAGCAGAATTGCCAGACACTATTTCTGCAAGATACATTGGAGGTGTGAATATCGATCTTCACTTTTACTCAATACACTTTTATTTAAATAATATTATTTAAGAATTCACTTTTGTTTAATATAATTTGTATGGACTATAAGGAGCCTGTATTGTGTTGGTGATTTAAAAACAAAAAAGGAAGTAAGAAAGCAAAACAGGTGGATCACACCTGTAATCCTAGCTACTTAGTGGGTTGAGATCTGAGGATTGCGGTTCAAAGCCAGTCCTGGCAGGAAAGTCTGTGAAACTCTTATCTCCAATAAACCACTCAGAAAACTAGAAGTGATGCTGTGGCTCAAGTGGTAGAGCGCTAGCCTTAAGCTGAAGGGCTGAGGGACAGAACCCAGGCCCAGAGCTCAGGCCCTGTGATGGACAAAAAAAACAAACAAACAAACAAAAAAGCTAGCCAACTACCAAAGTGGAATCCAATCCCATCATGAGCAAACACTTGTCCGCCACCTACTGACGCAGAAGTGAGATATGCCAGGAAGCTAAGGTGTGGTTTTATGAGTCTTCCCAACGTTCACTCAGTTTTGCTGACTCAACTTAAAGCTCATGACCTGGCTGACATAAAGAACAAATGCAAGTAAATGCTTTCAAATGGTAGGGAGATGGAAAGTCCAAGGTAGACATTTAACATGCCACACACAGAGCTGCAAGTGCATTTCATCAGCAGTGCTCATTTGCATGTTTCTAGAGAAATAACTGTCTCTGTGCATATGTTGTCTTTATAAACAGAGAACATGAGGAATAATAATAATATAACAATAATAATGATAACAACTACTGTTATTAAATGCTTTCTGCTGTTTGAAATACTGTACATCACATATATTAATCCTTAAAATGAAGAATTGGATGAGGAATCAGGTATGGTAGCACAGTTGAGGCAGGAGGATCACAGGTTGGATGCCAGCCTGGGCTACATAGCAAGATCCTGTGTCAAAGAACAAAACACAAATTTAAAAAGTAGATGAGGCGGTACAAGTAAACTTCCACTTAGCTAGTATGGGCAAGAATGGTATGTCATTCACGGCTCCTGATTACAGACAACAGTCTATTCTAGCTGTTTTGAACCAGCTAGTAGTTTCTTTAAACACATATGTGGTTCCTTGGGTCTCTAGTTTCTTTTCAGACTAAGAAAAATTGACTTACTTTTTCTTTCATTAAAAAATATATATACTTAGCCAGGCGCCCATGGCTCATGCCTGTAATCCTAGCTATTCAGGAGGCTGAGATCTGAGGATCACGGTTCAAAGCCAGCCTGGGCAGGAAAGTCCGTGAGATTCTTATCTCCAATAAACCACTAGAAAACTGGAAGTGGCGCTGTAGCCCAAGTGGTAGAGCGCTAGCCTTGAGCTGAAGAGCTGAGGGACAGCACCCAAGCCCAGAGTTCAAGCCCCATGACAGACCATATATATATATGTATATATATATATATATATACATATATCTTATATATACATATATATCCATACACACATTTAAAAATATAAACTTAAGGAGTTTCAATTCAACATGTCCACTGTAAGTACAATGCATCTTGATCAATATCACCCCTTTCATCATTCTCCTCCATTTCTCCCAACCCTACCCATCCCCTCAATTTATCTCATTTAATTTTCACATATGTACATTGAATATTATGATGGCATTTGCCCACCACTTCCCTCTCTATTGTCTCCCCCTTCCCTTTGACTTCCCCCAACACATGGTCCAGCTTCCTAGTATTCATGTTGTTAAACTGTAAAGCTACTTGTTCAAAAGAGTTGCACCATTGGAATCCTCCTCTGCATATACTATATTTTAGTTAACATGAAAAAATGGACTCTTACTCAGCTTTGAAAGTCACTGTAGAATTGGGTCAGTCTGGGAGCTGATGCCTCATCCACAGTCATGAAGTTGCTGAATGGAAAAGATACATTCTCCAGCTGGTGCTACAGCTCTCTGCTCCAGGGCCAAGCCACACCTGCCATGACCAAGAAGCAACTCAATCATGAGGTTGCACCATGGCTAGTTCCGAAGTTTGACACTTCTGCTACGTCCCTGCTAGCAAAAGAGATCCCCAGAACTCTCCTCTTAGTTCTACAAAGAAAGGAAGGTCTGAGATGAGTCTGCAGGCTGTGCAGGATAGAAGAAACAGTCGCCCAAAATACTGGAGATGATCTAGAGGCTGTGAAGTGGGTGTGGATTGAGAGGGGATGAAAATAGGTGGAGAACGGGAGTGGGGAACTCATCTACCTCAGTTCCTGTACACAGCCTCATGGACATCTAACTGCGGATTCAACTCCCAAATCAAGATAACTGAATAACAATGATCAAATAAAATGATCTAAAATAACAATGATCAAATGTGGAAGCCTAGCCACAAGGAATTCTAGTAAAGTTGAACACTACAACTTTCCAGCAACTTATATAATTGCCTTCAAGACAAGAACCATGACATTTACGCCAGATCCCTCAAATCTCCTGGCAGTGTATGTGTGGTAATGATTCAGTAATGAATAATAAATGAATGCATGAATTTTATTAGTGAAGTTCCTCCTTTTTTTTTTTAGAATATATTGGATACAGTACTCTGCATCCAAATAATTAGAAATCAGTTGTTCAAGTCTCCTACTGGTTTTTGTTTATTTGTTTGTCAGCCATGGGCCCTGAACTCAGAGCCAGGTTGCTGTCCCTGAGCTCTTTTTGCTCAATGTTAGTGTTCTACCACTTTGAGCCACAGTGTGACTTCTGATTTTCTGGTGACTATTGGAGATAAGAGTCTCACAGACTTTCCTGCCTGGCCTGGCTTTGAACTGCAACCCTCAGATCTCAGCCCCCTGAGTCGCTAGGATTACAAGCAAGAGCTACCAGTGCCCAGCTCCTACTGTTTTTAAGTAGAGAAACTTTCCTTCATCACTACCATCCATCAAATTTCCTCCCCTATTTAGTGAGCCTCTACTGGCTGCTAAAGATTATAAATTTGTGTCTACCAAAATTCAATGTTCGTACCTAATCTTCCAGGGAAGGTCACAAGGGTGGAGCCCTCATGGAAGGATTTAATGTCCTTTATTCTTTCTTTTTAAATATATATGTACACACATATATTAAGTTTATATGAAGTAGTTGTACAAATGAGTTGTTATTCAACAAAGCAGTTCATGACCACAGTGCATCTTGATCAATGTCACCCCTTTCAACATTCTCACCCATCCCTCCCAACCCCCTCCTCTCCTCACTTTTAATTTTTTAGGTTATACATTGATTTTTTTTTTACTACATTCTCCCTTCTTTTCCCCCCCCTTCATTTATCTAACCACTTCAACCTTGACCCTATTCCATCCTTTTTTTTGGTCGTGGGGCCTGAACTCTGGGTGTGGACACTGTCCCTCAGCTCTTCAGCTCAAGGCTAGTGCTCCACTACTTGAGCCATGGCATCACTTCTGGCTTTTTCTGCTTGTGTGGTGCTGAGGAATCGATCCTAGGGCCTCATGCATGCAAGACAAGCACTCTGCCACTGAGCCACCTTCCAGCCCTATGCCATCCTTTTTAATTACCTGTTTCCTGGTGTTTATTTTGTCAAACTATAGTTTAGCCTTTCTAAGGAATTATAATGCTTGAGTTTGCCCCTGAATCTACTATATTTTAGTTAATACATTGTATACACTTGCATATCGCCCGAAATGTTTACTTATATATGTACATATTTATAAACTAACTCTGGCTTCCACATATAAGAGAAAACATGCAACTTTTGTCTCTCTGGGCCTGACTTACTTAACATATTTTTTTCCAGGTCCTTCCATTTCTTTGCAAATAATACAGTATCATTCTCCCTAATGGATAAGTAAAATTCCATATATATATATATATATGCAATATATATGTGTATATGTTATATATATATGTGTGTGTGCAATGCAGTATATATATGTGTGTGAATATATATGTATATATTGCATTTTCTTGATCCACTTTCCTTTGAGGGGCATCTGGGCTGATTTCAAACCTTGGCTATGATCAACAGTGCTGCAGTGAACATGGTTGAGCTAGTAGTATACTAGAGCCCTTAGAGTGAGGTGAAGAGACCAGCATTCTTTTTTTTTTTATTAGCATTCTTTTCCTTTATACCACATGAGGTAGAACTAGAAGGTACTGGCTATAAACAGAAAGTAAGCATTCACCAGACATGGAACCTGCATGGTATTCCAGCTTCTAGTGGTGAGAAATTATTGTATACAAGCTTCCTAGTTTGTTTGTTTTTGACAATTTTGTAGTAACAGCCCAAATGGACTAAGTTACCAGCTAATGTTGTATAAAAGTGTATGTGTGTGTGTGTGTGTATGTGTAAAAACTATATATATATATTATATATAGGTATAAATACACATAATTATTTATATTATTTTACCTATTTGGCCAACCTCTAACATTTTTTTAAATGAGAGAAAGAGAGAATTTTTGAAGATGAAGTAAGTTCATGTTCTCTTTGGAACACATTAATAGGCAAGTCTTACACTAGTGCAATCACTTGCTCTAAGTAATAATTTATCAAGCCAGAGAGAATGGAACAAATTATGGATGTGAAAGTATCCAGGGGTCTCTATAGTCTACTTTTAATCCATTCAATTTCCTGCTACAGTAGAATTTCTTCCATTTGTGTCAATCCTTTGGGGTCAGCACATAGCAAAGTTCCCTTAGTTTCTGGAAACTTCTCACTTTAAAACTCCCAACCAAGCAGGTTGTCTCCTGCTGGGTGGTTAATGAAACTGGTAGGCATGCAGCTTCCTCCTGGTTGCCATGTCAACGACCAGGCTGCTGGGCCTTCTGGAAACAGAAAAGAACAGCAAGTGCGGGCCCATGCATTCCACCCTGGCTTGCAGATTAAAGCAGCTGTCAAGCCAGGGTGAAGGATCAGTGGCCAGGCAGAGTCTGTGGAGAAGAGACGGAAGGCTCCACCGTGAAACTCTGAGATGTAAGTCATTTCTCTACTTTTCTTTGCTGTTTTGGTTTTTTTTTTAGGCCAGTCTAGTTTTATAGAAAAATTTTAATAGCTTCAGAATTCCTGCTACATGACAGGAAAGTTCTGAGGTGGTTTGAAGAGCCACCATCAGGGCTGTCTCCTTGTAGCGTTAGCACTCCCCGAACGTAGAGTATGTGGATGGAGACCATAAAAGACTGTTGTAGACTTTCAAGCGTGTGAGTTAACCTTTTCACTGAGATTCTGCCTTTAAAAGGCAATATTTTGAGTGCATTAAGCAAAGAATGAAGTAGTCTTCTCATTTAGCCACTCAATAGAGAAACTCACTCAAAGCAAATAGAATAGTTATCTTCTCGGGACCTGAAAATCTTGTTTCTATTGAAAACATCTGGTTATAGTCTTCTGTTAGTCTTCATTACTAATTAACCATTAAGTAAAAGATATCTAACAGATTTCTTTTTCTTACTGTGACTGCAAACAATGAAAACTAGGCACTGGTAAAGCATCAGCTTTGTTGGTTCTCTGTTTATATCTTTTAATAGTATATATTTGCTGCCATTTAGATACCAAGTTTTATAGTGTTTGCTTATTAGAAAACATAGATAAGAAAAAACAATAACCTTAGACATAGCTAACATTTGGATTAGAAAGTTAACTTAAAAAATGGTGCTTGTATTCAAAAGTGGAAAAAATATGACAAATAATGATAATAAAGATAAGAAAGGAGGAGTGTTTTAATTCAAGTCTAATAGTCTGTCCACAGTCCTGCCTGCAGATTTTATTGTTTATTAAACATGTCTTTGGGTATATTTTAGCAAAAATTATTAAACAATTTTTGTTGGTATATTTGTGGGAAAGACATGTTTCAAAAGCATTGTGCCTAATACTTATGAAAAAGTAAAAACTACCAAAAAACAAAAACCAGACCTTATTTGTCCAAAAACTTGCTTGAAAAAATTTTTAATGGAGAGGATGATCCTTGAGATGTTTGTACTTTTTCAGACTGAATAATGCAATATGTTTGGAAGAAAAACCAGATCTCTTCTTATTTTTTTCTGACACAAATTGGGCATTTTCTTAAAATGATGGTTCCAACAAAATATTTATAGAAATGAATGCTTTTCAACAGCTAACTTGGATTTCCCAACTTCCTTTCTACACTCGGCTTTCATTGTTTGAAAATGGTATTCAGGGGCTTGGAAGGTGGCTCAGTGGTAGAGCGTTTGCCTTGCATGCTTGAGGCCCTGGGTTCGATTCCTCAGCACCACATAAAGAAAAAAGCAGAAGTGGGCTACCACCACTACTCGAGAGCTGAGGGACAGCGCCCAGGCCCAGAGTTCAGGCCCCACGACCGGACCCAAAAAAGAAAATGGTATTCAATCTTTTAGAATTTAATGTCCAGTGGCTCTGGTCTGAGGCAGGAAGTTTGTGGATTCCAGTGAAGACAACAGTTAGATCACATTGCGTGGATTTGAACCCCAGGTGATCTACTCCATTGTCCTTATACTGATTCACTCATTGGTGATGTCACTTTTGCAAAGGCCTGTGTCATGGAAAGCTATGGCAGCTACATATTTTAGCTAGCATTTCCCAGTGGTTCTCACCCTTCTGTTAATATTAGCAGAGTCAATACTCCATTCATATTGATGAACCTAAACTTACTTATAAACCTAATTCAAAAGTGTTTCTTTTACAAAGAGTGCTTCTGAAATGTTTATGTGTAACAGAACCTGCTTAACTCCTCTGTCCCTCATTAGCATAGGTTTTCCACAGACATTTTCAGTTAAAGGCCAGAGTCTAGCAGTGAACTACACAGCAAGGAGTATTATCTGAGTCTGTATGTGACCCTGGGCTGGGAAACTGCGCTGTAATTTCCACTGTGACTCTTCAGTGTGTACTTGCCCGTCTCAGTGTGAGCTCTGGGACAAGCTCTTGGAACCTGGGAAAAGTAATTCATCTTCTTTGGGTCTCCATTTTCTAAGATGAAAATGAGACCATAATATCTACCTTTAGTATTATTACAAGTATTAAGTATTATAAAACATGTAAAACATTTACAACATTACCTGGCACAAAAGGAGCACTCATTACATCTTTTTATTAACAAATAAGGCCAGAAGCAGCTGTAATCACACCAGCTGTTCTGAAATCTGAGGTGGGAAGATCAGCCCTGGAGCTGAAGATCCGTCTGAACAAATGAGACTCATTCTTAAAAGATAAATACATACTCACATACATGCATATATTTTTTTTTCTTATTTCAGTCATTTTTAACATATTTGTAAATCTCAGTTTTAAAAAATGTTAAGTACCTTATATTTTCTTGACCATTGCTTTTATATTTAAGCTTAGGAACACAATGTGGAAGGACAGTAAAATATTTGGCGAATGTCTATTAGACATACAGAAAGAACTGCCAAGAACAATGTTACCTATAGGAGCCTGAAGTTTGGGGAAGAAGCTGGAAGCTACAGCCAGACTTGAGCTAATAAGCACCATGGCTGGAGCGTCACGCGAGCCTGGGGGGAGTGGCTATACATAGAGAAGGCCAGACCTTGAGTAGGGGCATGCAATCATGGGAAATGAGATGCCGGCCAAAGAAACAGATAGAGTAGCCATGGAAGACGCAAGAAAACCCAGGAGGATGGGTGTCACAGAGGGGCAGAGAGTTCTCTACTAAGAAAGAAAACTCTGTCAAATGATGGTGAGAAGCCAGGGGAATGAGATGGAGAAATTGATCATACTATCAAGACACACCACCAGTCTTAGTAAGAAGCTCTTTTTAATAAACTTAGTCTAGCATAGTGTAAGGAAAAATGAATACAGAGAGTTACCATCTCAGTAAACATCCTGTTAGTATAATACACATATCAAAATTATTAAGCTAACATTCGTGAATTATTATAAACTAAGGTCCAAATGCATTCATATTTTACTTAATGTCCTTAGGTAAGGTACTATATAGCTTTTAGTCTTCATTTGCAGACATTTACAAACTTTTCAAAATCTTTTTTTTTAAGGGAACTTCCATTTATTTATTTATTTATATTTTTTGGGGGTCCAGTCATGGGGCCTGAACTCTGGGCCTGGGCGCTGTCCCTCAGCTCTTCAGCTCAAGGCTAGCATCTACCGCTTGAGCCACAGCGCCACTTCTGGCTTTTTTCTTTTTGCTTATGTGGTGCTGGGGAATCGAACCCAGGGCCTCATGCATGCAAGGCAAGCATTCTACCACTGAGCCACCTTGCCAGCCCACTTTTCAAAATCTTTTAGATGCCAGGCACCTGTGGCTTCTGCTTGTAATCCTAGCTACTCCGGAGGCTGAGATCTAAGGATCACAGTTTAAAGCCAGCCTGCACAGGAAAGTCTATTAAGACTCTTATCTCCAACTAATCACCATAAAACAAACAAACAACTGGAAGTGGATCTGTGGCTCAAGTGTCACTGAGCAAAAGAAGCTCAGGGGCAGCACACAGGCTGTTCAAGTCCCAGGACCAGTATATTAAAAAATAAAAAACAAATCTAGAAAGCAACAATGATTAAGAGGCCCTTGGTTCTATTATTTGTATCTTAAACCACACAAGGAAAATGTTCCTTTTACTTTTCCAAAATGTGATGATTAGAACTTTAACTTGAACACAGATGAAAGGAAAAAGCCTAGTGCTTAAACATCTTGAGGTAATCATAGCTGAAGGTACTTTATGGGAATGTAATCATGTGCAATTGTAAGCAGAAGATCTGAATTCTCTTTTATTGTTCTGGAAGCAGGTAATTAAAATGTTAAAGGCTTACCAGACTTTCTTGTTTCTCATCTCCTAGCAAAGGGATTAGTGTCTTGCTCATTCTAGTTATCCTTGGCAACCTCACCTGGGATACTGGCCCAGTGGTTTGAGCAAACTTCCAAGTTAGCCCCAAGGCTGGACTCACAAACAGCAGGTTGAGACTTTCAACTGAGAGCATGGAGGGCAAGGGCTTTGTTGGCATATTGAGGGTGAAAGAAAAGCTTCAAAAGCACTATGCATAATATTTATGAAAAAAACTCAGAAGTGTCACGTTTACAAGTGTCTCAGAGACCTAGACAGTTGGTGTCGTGTATTCTTGGGTTCAGTATCTGAGGCAATAAACCTCAGAAAATACTCAGGAGAAAGAACTGCTGCCTGTACTGACATGTATAGACTTTCTTGTCATTATTCCCTAAACCAGCGGTGGGGAACATCTGGCCCCTAGGCCACCTAAGGCACCTTGAAATCATTCGGTACACGATGGGACAGACACAGATGCTACTATTATACTTCTCAGCAGCTCCTGCTCAAAGCCTGTTTCGATACCAGATGGCATTATAAATATCCAAGTAGCCCCTGGCAGAAGAAAAATCCCCAGTCCCTGCTCTGAGCAGGGACAACTCTTTATATAGCATTTATATTGTATTGGAGATAAGTAGTATAAAGAAAATCTCAAGTATACAGGAGGGTGTTGTCCGTGATAACAAGGTGGACTAGGGGGCCCCCTAGAGCAAACTGTCTGCGCATAATGAGGAACAACTGCATACTTACTAATTCTGTTCCTTGGAGCCCTGGAGGATGTTTGAGAGATGGGAGGACAGTGCTCAAGGGCTGACTTGGGGCTCAGGACACCCATCTAAGCAACTGTATCTCACCTTGTGTTCCTATTAAATGCCCAGGAAAGACCCAATGACCACCTTAAACTCAAACTCAGCTTCCTGGAGAAGTCACAGGAAGTATATGTGTGGGTGGCTCGAAGGACTTGTGCAATATGTCATTCAATGGCTTTTGGACTATTCACTGCCTGGGCACAGGGCAGTAAACTCGAATGGACACCTTCTCCCTCAGACATAAAAGCTCATGGATAAGTCCATGATAAAACTCCCTCAAAGAACATGAACTTTGTTTGCTGATTTGATGGATGAATTGACTGATTTGAGTGATGATGCTTTGGCTGCTCTTCAATTCATAGGCTCAAGTGATCCTCTTGCCTGG